GTGAGGCCTGGTCAAGTTATCAGAGTCATCCCATAGCAGCTGAGAACAGCCACAGCTGTGGTTTGTCTGTTCAAACACAAGCTTGATCAAATAGCCCCAAGCGTAATAAGTGGACGAGCCATCAATTACGTTAGACCTGATGTCTGATGCCAGCTCAGAAATATTCTCTAGTGGCGAGAAGTTATTAATTGGAAGACATTCCATATTGTCTGAAATTGAACTTTCATGGTGCGAATATATTGGCAACTCCTTGAGGAAGTCAGCCTTGCCATCCTCTACGTTTTCATTGTTCGACAGTTTGAACAGTTTATTTATCCCTATGCGTTTTAGTCCTTAGGTGAACTAGTGCACATTTGGGTTTGTGTTGCAGCCCAGCATTTGTCGTATATAGCTCCAAAAATGTTCTCAAGTGGGTCTTGCTGCAGGCGTCGTGTAAGTAAGAACTTGAAGTCACGGCTGTTTCAAAGCTCATCCCAGAGCGTGAGGATACTTTTTATAGTAACTTGCGACCCTATGATGGCTTGTGGCTGCCTCCTACTTTGGAACTGCCATGCTGAAATCCATCCGAGTTGCTGGTGAAGGAAATCAAGTATTTCAGATTTTCCCTTCACACTGGCATGACGTAACTTCTGCCCTGTCTTCTTGAATTGTGAGCTATTTAGACAATCAAAAAGTATGCACATCCTATTACAAAAATCGGCTGTAGCCATGGCTGTCTCAGGAAGCTCCTTGGCATAAACAATGGATATGATTGCAAGAAAGAGTGAGGCACTCAGTCCCTGTGCGGCACGATTTACTTCCATATTAGTGAAAGGTTTATAAAAAAAATGTGTCTCTCAGTAAGTTTCGGAGCCAATTGCAAGCTCATCTCATGGGTAGAACGATAAAGTTCAAATATATGGGACCACTCAATGACCTTATTTCCAATGCAAAGCTTGTGTGCTTGGAGATAGCTAGCTATCTCCAAGCACAGACGGTCTTTGATCTTCCGCACCTCTCCGAAACAACCAAGAGCTCTTGGTTGTTTCGGGGAAGTGCGGAACATCAAAGATAAAGTAAACATATTCGTTGTCAACTTAAAAAAATGGCTTATCAACACGCACACCAAGTTGGTTGGCCAAGCTTACGTTTGAGCCCCCTAATCACCGACCACAGCTTTTACTGTGAAGTTAACAGTCTAAAGGCCCCGTGAGAACCGGCCTTAAAGGCCGGTTCTCACATGCAGCGAAGCGCTGATGTAGCGCTCCTCACGTGCCATCAGCTACTTATCGTATGCCATGAGCAACAGTTTTGACGGTGCGATACAAAGCTGGTGAACGCTGCCGTCAGCACGCGCTTAGCGCGAGGTTAGCGCTATGCTTGTAGCGCTCCGCTGCATGTGTGAACGGGCCTTCAAGCTCCCGAATGAGAGAACTGAGGAGACTGCGTTTAACAGAAGACGTTGTTGGAGTGTGCCCAACAGTGTATGCAAGGGGCTAAGTCCACCCCACCTCCTGGAAATTCCAGAGAGCACAACAACCAAGGCTCTATCTGCAATGTTAGAGATTCGTTCAACACCGTCATCTGTAAGTCCATGGACAATGTCTTGTGCAGGGTCGTGGGTTAAGTTCTTTTTTAAAACAATCTCATTGAAAATCAAGATGCACACACGATCAAGTGCAGCAAGGCAGCCCGGCGGAAACAACAGCGCGACAAACTCAAACCGATCGGCTCCACTAATTCACGCCGTGCATGCGAGCACGCGGGCGGTCATGCGTCACCTTGATTGATGCAAAATCGACCGAACATGATGCAGCTGAAAGCACAGACGGACGGTACGCACGGCACGGACGGACGACGCAGGGACGAGCAGAGGCCATGCAGAATGATGCAAAGGCGACGGCGTGCAGGCAGGCAGGCCATGGCAGGCGCTATTCATCACGTGGTTTTTGTGACGTATTTGATCAACACTTTTGAGTCGTTTTAAGTCCTTTAAAAAATTCTAAAACATAACAATTAAAAAAATTAATACTTCTCATAGGAAGAGTTCTAACTAATTTTAACCAAATCACAGTAAAGCGCCACGTAGGCATTAAACGCAGTATCTGGGCCGCGAATCGGCTTCTGTGTCCTCCCTCTTTACGTTTACTATATTACTCTATAAGGAGACGAGGGATATATTTCCGTCGTCTCCGGTTTTAACTATGTGTAATTTTTCATCATGGCGGTTATCCAAGCTTTTCTCTTCACGGGACACAGCTTGGCCGACCGAATCTACTGTAGGCGCTCTCTTTCTCATAAAATTAATTCTTGGAGCCTTTGGCGATACAGTTCGCTGGCATTATCAAAAGCATGGCGACCCAAGGCGCATATCTTTGTTATGCAGCAGCCTGGTATAACGTAGGCTTAAGAACGACCGCAGGCCTATTTGCTCATCCTGGACGAGGACGCTGGCATCTTTTCGCGTATGCGCAGCGGCGTTTTTGGGAAGGGTCATTACAGTAGCGTTTTCTCCAAGCTTCAGATTTCCTGGCTGGAGACCCTTGACGTTCTTCGTTGCCTGATGAAATACCATCGGTAGCTTTATCATAGTTCACTCTCAGAAATAGGGGGTGTACAGGGGTACACCCATTGTCCCATATATGTAACACCTCAAAACTACATTTCGTCGTTCTGTCCACTGACGTCGAGCTAGCGATACCAAGTTTTAAGAGCGGCTTGATAGCTGTTGGATATAACATACTAAATACCTAATGTGCGTATCAAAGACTACAAAACAAAATCACTGAGGTTTTGCAGCAGGGCCAAAAAAACCTATTGTCTTACAGTAGCCTTTAATGAGTACATTAGCTATTTTAATAAATAGGGGATCGCTCGACTATCAAGCCGCTCGTAAAAGTTGGTATCGCCGGCTCAAAGTGGTTGGACAGAACGTCGAAATGTAGTTTTGGGGTGTTACATATGGGACAAGGGGTGTACCCGTGTACACCCCCTATTTCTGAGAGTGTTGGCTGTCGATAGCTTTATTCAAGATTTCACGGTTGTCGACTATCGATGGTATACTATCAATAGCAGTATAGATAGTTTTCCTATAGTCGACCATCGATAGTACTATCGATAGTTTGTCACTACCGACTGTTAGATTTGACTTCCACCATCGATAGTATCAATCATACTATATAGTGTTGCACCACCACCTCTGCTCTCGTCAGCCTCTCAGCGACATTAGAGATACTCGAAACTGTCAAAGATGGCAGCAATTAAAACAGCTCTTTACTCTGCGAGATAATCACAGAATATTTGAATGCAACGAAATATATATTAAACGCGAGTTTAACTAGTATTCATAGTAGAAATTTACTAGAAATATTAAAGATGATTCATGATCTCAAAATTTTCAATCTGGGGCCATTCTGTCTGGGGTCATGTTGACCGGAGCCATTTTGTTTCCCTTGACCCTAGGGCTATGCTGTCTCCGTCGCACTTCTTTTTAACGTTTTGCGCTTCGAGCAGTGCCTTGTGCAAGGAAGATTCATGAAGTGCGTGAGGGTTTTGAGTCCGCCCGCCGTGCACGTGCACGCCATCCGTTGTTCAAGGCAACATGCTCGCGCTTGTAGCTTCGGACTATATTTCGTACCCATTCTCGTGCCATCCTGAGAAAAAAGAAGACGACGCAGTCGAATGCTCCCACTCGGACACCGCAACGTGGTTCTCCTATGTTTCGGAATCATCACCTGCCCAGGCTTTACAGGTAGGGTCCCCCACACGAACAAGGCAGATTGGGAGACAGCGTGGGTTCTCGATCTGGGTTCTTGCTACCTCCGTTCCGGCAAGGTATAATCTCCCAAATCGTGAGAGTTAGAAGAGTGAGACCTATAATCTTCGCGTGTCAACATACGCTTGCGCCAAAGCTTGTTTAGAAACTGACAGGTAAGCCGAGGAAGCTCCTTGGCATAAACAATGGATATGATTGCAAGAAAGAGTGAGGCACTCAGTCCCTGTGCGGCACGATTTACTTCCATATTAGTGAAAGGTTTATAAAAAAAAATGTGTCTCTCAGTAAGTTTCGGAGCCAATTGCAAGCTCATCTCAGAAAGCGGAAATGAGATGAACACGAGAGAATCAGCCGGTCAGCATTTTGTGAGGGCCCAATGTGCAGTGACCAGTCACCTAGCTGTGCTTCGAGATTTGTGTTTCTCCTTTGTCCCTCTTGTTCCCCTTCTCCAGGGATTATTTTCGTCATTCTTGTCCAGCTCGCTTGCACCTTTGCATTTAATTGCATTATAATCATGACGAAAGATAGCCCTACCGAAAAATCCAGTATAACTTTTCACTATCCGGATTATGGAACCGGAAATTTGTTTCTGGAAATCCGAAATTCAGATTGCACACAAAGGAATAATTTTTGAAAGGCTAAAATCCAAATAGAGTCCAGATGGAATCCATATAGATTCCCGGTTCCATAATCCGGATAGCAAAACGTTATACCGGATTTTTCGATAAAAGCTTTTGATGCGTGCGTGCTCTTACACGGCGCGAGCGTTTGTTCAGTTTAAGTGATTCTGTGTGTGTTTAGCCAGCGGGAAGTTAGCCCCGCTGGATGTCTCAAGTCTCCACTATAGATGAGAAATTTAGCTAGTGCAGTATGACTCGTTTGGCCTGAGGTCTGACGTGCATCACGCAGTAGTGATACGCGACCGCACGCCGGTACGGTAAGCCAAATCGAAACGGGCAGGAGTGGGGATTCAGCCAAATTGTTCAAATGTGACGTACACATAAACAACAAAAACACTGGAACCCTCAAACATGGTTGTATACCCCTAAGTTTACGAGAAAATAGGTCCTAAAAAAGACTGGAACGTTTCCTGTTTACTAGTGTCAAATTGCATTTGCCTGTTTACAATGCGCGGATTGAAAGTGTTCCTTTTGCATGTTCATTTTTGCCCAGGAGGCGCTTGGAATGCGTGAAAGTAGTCTTCCTAAGCGTTCTCCTTGCGCTCACCTGCAGCACCACCCTCTATATGTCCCGACTCAAGGTTTCTTCGCCTAACAACAACAACGCAAATATTCCTCGTGAGCAGAACAAGAGAAAGGTCTCCTCCAGCCTTCTCTACTCGCCACCTCCACCCACTGCACGATCGGTTTCCAAATCAAAGTTTGTGACATACGCCAACGTTGTTCCAGCCGACCAGTTTTCGAAATTCAACGAGAGCGTCACTCTCACTACACACGCAACCCACGATTTCCTCCAGCACACGCCGGCGCTCTGCAAGAGATGGCGTGGTCCCTTGTCTTTGGCTGTCTATGCGCCGGGCCCCGACTACGCCGTCGTGTTGGACAAGATCTCGTTTCTGCGGCGCTGCAGCGAACCCTGCGTCCGCGCCAACGTTACGTGGCACATTGTTAGCGACAGCGACGATCCTCCGGTCAAGCCCGGGAAGACTGCCGCCTACGTCCTGGCCCAATGGAACAAGTCGTGTTCCTCGGACGTCATGACAGCAACGTTTGTTAATTTCCGCAGGGTACACAAAAAGGTGTACCCAGTCAACGTTCTCAGAAATTTGGCCAGAATGCACGCGAAGACCAGGCATCTCATGGCGTCGGACATCGAGCTGTACCCCAGCCAAGACATCATCCCACGGTTCTTGCGGTTGGTGCAGCGACGGAAGGATCGCTCGCCAGTAAAGGAGGTGTACGCGCTGCAGCCGTTCGAGGTGAGGGCAGACCAGGATGCCCCACTGATCAAGCGGGAGCTGGTACGGATGCTCGGAAATGGGACGGCCGTGTTCTTCCACCAGAAGTTTTGCGCGGCCTGTCACATGGTTCCCGAGTGGAAGCAATGGTTGAGTTACCTCCCAGACGATGATACCCTCGACATATTCACCACCGAGACCGATGCGAAAAATAACTCCCTTTGGGAGCCTATTTACATCGGCACCAACGCCGAGCCGCTCTACCCAGAGGAGATGTCCTGGGAGGGCAAGAGGGATAAGTTCACACAGGTAAGAATGAAAAAAAAAAAAAAAAAAATCAACAGATAAGAGGTGCTCAGGTTGAATATGAAAACGTCGAAATATAAAAACAAAGCGTACGTACGTTAGATCCTTTTGAAGTGTTTTCAATAAGAGAATGAAATAAGACCATCATGACAAAGTAGGGGGGGGGGGGGGGGGGGCTCGACTTTTTATTTCCTGGGAAGGATAAAGATAAAGCCGATATTTGGAAGGGGAAGAGGGGGGGGGGGGGGGTGGCGAGAGAGAATTGCAGAAAGGGAAGCGCCAGCGGTAAGCGTAAGGGTAAGCGAAAATAAACAGGCAAAACAAAAGCTGTTCTTTTTCGCCCCAAGAACAAATGTACTAAGTATATGCATCAATAATGATATCAAGTATGCAACTCAAAAATAGAAAAAAAAGAAATCAACGACTTTAAAACTCGACTTGTTATTCACAGAACGGATGGGAAGACCATACAAACTACGTCGCGTCGAAACTATAAAGCATAGTAGGCTTAAAGGAGCTGTGCAACAATTTCAGGGCTTTGCTTAAATAATTGTGGAAGTTGATGCCTGACACTTCTGCAGTGAACTACAGAAAACAGATTTTGCCTGGATACCCTAGTTTTTACTTAAAAAAATGAAAAAGATCCAGGTTTTTGCCGCCTCTCAACTCGTGCATCGTCTTCCGGGTCACGTGCACAGTGACGTCACTAGAGTAGGCGCGGAGTTCCGGAAAAGTTCTCTCTTTAGAGCCATCAGCGAGCAGCGAGAACTCATCCGCTCGCGACCGCGTGACCACCCGTCCTTGCCCGTCCGGCGCTGTCCCCCTCCTCCTCCGGCTTCTGGCGGCTGTTCGCGGTTTTGTAAACCTAGGATAGATGGCGCCACTAAAACTCCGTATAATAAAAGTTTTGTCGATGATACCAGGGTTTTGACGCATTTATATATATGTTGGAACGACAAGATTTATAAAAAAAGTTACCTTTTATCGAGCAGGTATTCGCACAACTTGCTATCTTTCTTACAACGACCCAAGTGACGTCACGCCGCTTGTTTCTCATGGCCGCCGCTCGTGGCTGCAGGTCGGGAAATATTCCAAGTTTTGCCTCGCTATTACGCGGTGGAATCGCAACATTGCGATGAAAGGAGGTGTGTTTTCTGCCATTTGTAACACAGTGAACAATATCAAAAGCAGAAAATGCCAATTCTTCCAACGTTAAAATCGTTGCACAGCTCCTTTAACTTGTATAGGTCGTCACACTTTACGTACCACAATGAAGCTTCTTGTATACAACACACCATTTTATTCGCACCTAAATTACTGCCATTTAGTGTAAGAAAATACGATTATAGAAAGTTTCCAAAAGGTGTACATATTACAAAACTAAATGCCAAGAAATACAGAAAACGTTTCATCCAACCATTCCTCTGCTCCACTGTTTCAGAAATATGGTGCAGTGTACTGTCGGTAGCAAAAGTTTGGATAACGCCGGAGCACCGACCAAGTTGCATCGCAGCGCTCCCTGACGGCGCGCCGCCTGCTGCCGAGACCCGCGCAGTGCGCACGCGCGTCTAATCTTATCAGCTGGCTTGCTCGTTTGCTTGCTACAACGCGACGTGCTGACGTGCTCCGGTCTGATTGAACTACTAGAGTGCCTCAATGTTGCTTACCGCCTTGAAACGGCGATAGATGCCGCTCCGGCAGCCGTGGTTTCACAATCTCCGCTCGTCGCTCTGTACAGCGGCCGAGCTCGCGTGCTCTGCGGCACGGGCAGTTCACTCAACTCTCTCGCGCGACTCGGAAACATGTTAAAAACAATCGTTTCCTTTTTCGCGTTATTTTTAACGCTTCCCATGTTCCGTTACGCCGTCGCTGCCGGCATGGATCGTGGGCGCAGTAGTCTTTCGGCACGTGCGACACTCCCGCTGTAAGCCTGAACGAGCAGAGCACGAGACGGCACAAGCTGCTTTGTGCACTACCGCCTGCCTCCTGCGGTATACAGTTACGTCACGCATGTGCGGAACGTTTAGTGGGATCGATCTTGTACCTCTGGCCGTATTGCGAACCGCGGCGTGCTGAAACGAAGTCCCTTGGGGACGGTTTCCTTCTGAATGATCAACGGTCAAGATGCACGCGTGGTAAAGGGCTGCAGGACAAACGGAAAAACAACGCCAGAGAATCATATACTAGTTTTACAACCCAGAAATAAAACTGCAATAAAAAATGGTGCTTTACCACATATAGGTCAGAACACCATTGGTCGGTGTTCTGACTAATGTGTGCCGCAGAGCACGCGAGCTCGGTCGCTCGGCCGCTGTCCAGAGCAGTGAGCGAAGAGAGTGGAATCACCGTTGCTAGGGCTTCGTCCATCGCCGTTTCATCAGACTGGAGCACGTACGTTGAAGGGAACAAACGAACAAGCAAGCAGATAAGAAAGGACGCCCGTGCCCACCGCGCGGGCCTCGACAGCAGGCGGCGCTCCGTCAGGAAGCGCGTGTTATCCAAACTTTTGCTCCCGACTGTACATTCATTACATCTATGCAGACCGTTCAAGCTTAGGATACGAGAACGAAATAATAAATAATAATGCTTATTTTTTTGCTCCTGTTTGCATGACTATACAGAGAAGCGGTCACAAATCCCACACGTAGCACCGATTATGGAACATTTATTTGTGCAAAACATGCTAGAGAACAAATGATAAAACGCAAGCTTCCAGAATTGTTGAATTTCTAAAAGTATTGGAATATATGATTTGAATCAACATAAAAACAAAAGGTTTGAGGTTATTTTCTTAGGGAGACAATACAAAAATTGCAGCGTTTTTTTTTTTTGTTTTTTTTTTAGCTTTGAGAGTCATTTTTGAGGTTGTTTCACTGTGCTCTATATTTTTATTTTGGTTAAATATATTGTGTGTTGATCGATGTTCATTGCTTTTGTTTTTACTCAGAGCAGTGGCGTCACTAGGGTCACCGGCACCCAGGGCGGTGGCCCGCGGCGCCCCCCCCCCCCCCCCCCTGCCCCGCTCGTCGCCCGCCGCGACACCCCCTGGAGCGCTGCACCCGGAGCGGTACACCTCCCCCCCCCCCCCCCCCCCCCGCACCCCCCTTGTGACACCACTGACTCTGAGACAGAATGTATGCTATATCGCGGACAATATGAGCTGAAAGAGTCCGTAATTCTTCAGCACCCTTGCCAGATTGTTTTAGAGAGCTGTGATCCGAACTTTGGAATGGAATGCGAAGTTGAGGTCCCCCTACTTGAGGCTATTCGACAAACTGAGAGATAAGAGAGCTTGTGGGGCCGCAGACGCCCTACAAGGCCAGATCTGGTGTCTCAGCTCTTATTGTCCGCAGGGGTGAGTAACCACGTCTGCCCCTGTACGTAGCTGTACTGACTGCCTTCTGGTCTTTAATTGTATAATTTCTGGGGAGGAAGGAGCTCGTGAAGCTGATTTTAGAGCGCAGCTCTTAGGCGCCCGTTTCCGGCTTCAGCGGCTTCGCCGTCGGCGTCACCGTAAGGTAACGTGACCCCCCAGGTCACGTGCCCCCCCCCCCCCCCCCCCCCCAGGTCCGGGGGTCACGTGATCTCGAGGGGAGGGGGTCAAATGAACCCCGGGAGGATGAGGAGGAGGTGAAGGAGAAGGAGGGGGTGGCGGAGGAGGATGAGGGGAGAACTTGGAGAAGGAGTAGCAGGCAGGATCACGAGGGAGGAGGAGAGTGGAGGGGTATACCCTCCCCTCAGTAACCTTCCCTCCTCCTCCTCAAGAGCTGCGCTCCAATTCGGCGTTACAGGCAGTTGTAAACGGCTTTCATTTTTTTCAGCTCTCCATCCCCCCACCTTCCAACCTCACCTATCGTTTTGATAGGGGAGCTGATTTGAATGTTAAGGACTTCGAAATTATTTATTTACATCTTGCTTCTTTTTTTTATTAAGACGAAAGAAGATGCGCTTCTTAAGTTCGACGTCATTTCTCGACCAGCGGCCTCGTGTTGCCGTAGTGAGCTGGCAGTTGGCGCAATAAACCGGCCAAAATGAAAGTTGCTTTCAAAGCCTTGACGTGAGCATCCATGTGAAATTGTGAACTTACCATTCGCGCAGCAAGCGCCAAAACCGGCGATGCGAAAAACGCGGAGGATAATTCTATCGTCCGCGTTATCGCTTCGCCGTCCTTGCACCTGCTGCTGACACCTCCTAGACAGCTTTCAAAGCCTGCGCGTCACGTGACATGACGTCACGTCCCGGAGGCCTGCACGGGCACTGATCGGATGCGAGTTCCGCGTCAGCGTTCGCGTGGGACTCCTTTCCTATCATGGTCCCAGGCGAAGGCTGACGCGGCACTCGAATCCAATCGGCACTCGTGCAGGCCTCCGGGACGTGACGTCATGTAACGTGACGCGCAGGCCTTGAAAGCTGTCTAGGAGGTGTTGCTGCTGCACGAATGGTAACTTTAGCCATAAGAGAAGGCTATGCTTCGCACGGGGTTCAAGTCGCCCTACAGTTCACTGATTTAGGGGTTTTCGGTGACGCTCAGCGAGTTTCGTATTGACACCATATGTGCATTTCAACAATGAAAGTAGATTACTAAATTCTAGATATTTAATTCACTAAATAGATTTTCTTTTCTTTTTTTTTTTTTTTTTTTGAGGGGGGGGGGGGGATTTTTAATGTTTATCTTTCTCCCGAAGAGTTCCCGAGTTTGCTCACAAAAAGAGTGCCTTTTTTTTTCTCGACCACCCTAGTTTTATTTTTGAAAATATTCGCATTTACACCTGATATGTTTCCTGGAATAATTCATTATTGGAGTAAATATTACAATATTGCATGCTCATTCGTATCTCAGGAACATGTACTTCTTATTCCTAGGCTCCACATTTTTATTATTATTATTATTATTTTTTTACATTGGGATTGTTGAATTTATATGATCTATGGCTATGGCATGTGTGGATTCGACACAGCTTTTTAACGCTTATTTGACATAACCATAGTCGACAGTATGGGTG